ATTTATCACAATTTTTAAATGTGGAATGATTCAGAAGGAATGTATGTGATGTTACTTTACCATGTTTCCTGGGTATAGCCATGGATGAGGCAGGTAACTGAGTAAAGTAATTTACTGACTTCACCCCTGACTCCAGTATAATGAATGATACCTTATTTCATAATTGATAAAAGATATGACCTTGATAGATATTTACAAAGATTGACTTCTTTTTTCTAAAATTATCAAATGATTCAATAAAAATATTTTACATTAAAAGTAATCAAAGTGTATGGCATTTATGTATCTGTATATTATACACCCAAAGTACATGTGATATAAAATACAATTGTTTTGTGCAATTGAATGTGTTATACTATCACATATATCATTGAATGATATGTACCTGACAAATGTTGTATGGCTTCATTAATAAATCACACAAAAATACTTCTATAACCTGATTCAGTTCACTACATGTATTTGACAATTTTTAAAAAAATGACCAAATACAATGCTTTCTGTACAGAATATACAGGGTGTCTGAAAAGTTTCTTTATAATTACAATTCAAAGTCTGTGTAAATTGTGGACAATTTGTATAATGGACCAAACTATCAATGTTTTTTCCACACTTATCAAGTTGTTAGACCCAGTGATCTCCCCAGGATTTTATCTCAAGTGGGTGCAAAATTCTGAATCTCACAATTTGAACCAAATTTGGTCAAATATGGCTAATTTTCATGATTTTTCTCATTTTCAAGTGGGAGCAAATAGATTTTCAAGTGGGTGCAAGCCTATTTTCAAAATCTCAGGTGGGTGCTGCACCCACTTGCTTTAATGCTGAGGAGATCACTGAGACCCATAACCCAACCCCTCTACATGTAACCTTGACAGACATATTTTCATGGCATGCATACTTGGTGTGGTATTATCTACTGATAGTTTGACCCAGCCAAATAATATAAAAAAATATTATTTCTTGGATACCAATACATTCAAAGTTCTAACTAGTAGTCAGATTTGTTTCCCAAAAGCGAGCAGTAATGTGGTTTAACTATACTAAAGTACACACAAACTACTGACATGTTTACATGTATTATACAGTTCACATGTACATCATATTATATACAAAACTAAGGTTTATGGGCCTGACCTTAATATCACTGATCAACTGTTTTGACTAGAACTGCCAAAGAAGATTGAATATTACACTAATCCTCCTTGATTTTTCCATCATTAACATGTCAAGGTCAAACCTGTCAAGTAATATATCTTAGCAAATATTATGCAGTAAGCTTTATAAATTTTCACATTTTTATGACTGCTATAACCATGCTTTAAATGGGCCTATTAACCTTTTGTGGCAATGGCAATTTGACAATGACATTTTTAAGCATAATATAAATCTTGGATATACAGTATACACTTTTTATTCAATTTACCAATTTCCACTGCAAAATTTGGGTATACATGTATTAAACAATATACCTGGTATATGAAGCTGTCAATGTCTAACATCAGCTAATATCTTTCACATAACTTTCACATTTTGAAGCATAATATCAATCTTGGATAAGCCTGTTTACTTTTTATTTCAAATGCTGTATCCAATGAGAAATTTAGGCACCAATGGGATGGAACCCATATGACTGGTCTCGTTGGCTATAGTGATCAGGGAATTCTGGGATTGCCCTGGGCTCCCCTAGTGGACTACCCTCCTACTTGGAACCCATATGACTGGTCTCATTGGCTATAGTGATCAGGGAATTCTGGGACTGCCCTGGGCTCCCCTAGTGGACTACCCTCCTACTTGGAACCCATATGACTGGTCTCATTGGCTATAGTGATCAGGGAATTCTGGGATTGCCCTGAGCTCCCCTAGTGGATTACCCTCCTACTTGGATCAATCATTTATTCAACCATTTGGGCAAGTTCACAGGTTTACCAGAAATTACAGAGTGTAGGATGAAAGCATGACTTTTCTCAACATTGATAAATATTGTTACATGTATGTATAGGCCTATCTTTACATACCATGTTGAGCCACTGTACTCCAACCTTCTCAGTTATTGCACCAAGACACTCAATGTTCTCCCCAGGATTTTATCTCAAGTGAGTGAAAATTCCTATTTTCATAATTTAGACCAAAATATGCATATTTACATGATTTTTCTCATTTTCAAGTGGGTGCGAGCCTGCTTTTAAAATCTCAAGTGAGTGGAGCGCCCACTTGCTCTAATGCTGGGGAGATCACTGACTGTGGTAACCCCTAGCAATATTCACCAATAAAAGTGGTAAGAGCTTTGTGAACAGGAGGATGGCACAGAGATTGAAGTTCAAGTTCGACAAGAGGAAGGAGACTAAATTTACCAATCATGTACAATTAAATTTCAGAATAATATGGGGGTTATTTATAGACTAGATCAAAAAGTCACTGTACATTGCACATTCTGTGAAAATTTCATTAGAATATATTGAAAAATAAAAATGGAGAGATATTATGATCACTCCTCATATCAGTTCAAAAAGATTAATCCAGTCACAGTCAAAATTCTGTAAGTTGTTATTACTTTTCACTGTATAACTTTTTATATTACATTACAGGTAAAATGCCACAAGAGGTTGCATACCTGCCAACCTAAGACCTAAAATTTGCGTATTTTTTATTTCAATTGTGGTATTTTTGCGGTAGATTTTTTCAAAATGCTGTAATTTTTGCGGTATTTTTCGACAAAAATGCCGTAGATTAAAGAAACTGATTTTCCGTAGATTTTGACACACTTCAATGAATAAATAATAAAGTGTGTTTTTCTAACTAACAATTTGAACACAATTTGAATTTTATAACTACAGTAGAACCTGTGATAGTTGAACACTGTGTTTTTGCTTCACGATTCTCCCCAGTGTGTTGACTGATTACAGGCCAGCTTACTTAGTAGCTTACTTTTATACGGTAAGTTGGCAGGTATGGACTGGGTAAAATATTGATGTGTCATTCTTACTATGGGAGTGGAAATTCATTCTTTTGGAACTAAATAACATTGAAATTCAATTCATTTTACATTAAAGTTATTCCAATATCCATAAGTAATTCCATATCCATAAGTAATTCCATAAGTACTTCCAAACAGGAGGGGCAGTTGTTAACACTTACTTACTTACAGTATTAACTCTCACACGACATGCCTAATTGAAGAAGTGGCACATATTGAACACATTCTAATCATGAATACCATAAAACTAGTAATTTTAGTGTAATTATTTTCACAATTTTTGTAATTTCTTTACTTTTTGAAATTTGTGTGCAATTTAATTTTACCATTTATATGCTATTTATTTTCACATACAAAGTTTATTTAATCGAAAATAATTTACTTTCACAAAAATGGTGTTCTCACACAAAAACTTCTAGTTTTCGGCTTAGTACTAGGTGGTAACCAACTCTTTTCTCATTTTTGTACAGGAATATATACTAAAAGAAAATGTATCAAAAGAAGTTTTAAGTAAACACTGTTAATATTTGTAAGTTATTAATCTTTTAGTAAACAATGCAAAAATTCATCTGGTTACATGCTAAAATGTAAAATTGACAACATTTTTAAATTATCAAAAAGTCACAAATTCTTAAAAATCTGAATATACTTACTACCTATATACTACTAATTTTAGTTCAGTTTTTTATACAATTAAAGAGCAAGTAGAATGTATGGGTAAATCCAGACCACTGTCCATGGTACAGATTGCTAAAAGTTAAACGATTTATTTTATAATTTATTTCTAGTTTAGTACAGGGTGGTGAAAAAACACAGAAACCCTGTATTACTCCCTGATATTCGATATATCTGTACATCATTCAATTTCCTACCACTCTACCATATTTCATGATTATCAGACTGATAGTCACCATGTTACACCATTTTGAACAACATGCGTTAGGTGTGGCAAATGGATGATCCCTCTTTTGAGGTCTGCAATTGTCCTGAGGTCATCCTCGTACACTCTATCTTTGGGGTACTCCCATAGGTAGAGGTCAGGTAGGGACATTTTCAACGACATTTGCAGGTTTGTCTATAGCACAATAGTGGCCACTGGAGCAAGTTGTCTAAAGTGCTGTAACATTGTGACTATGAGTCTGATGGTTGGTCATGAAATATGGTAGGCTGGTAGAAAATTGAATGATGTACAAATGTGCCAAATATGAGAAAAATAGTGGCAGTGTTTCTAAATTTTGACCACCCTGTACTTTCTATATAAATCTGCTTTTTCTTGACAAGTATCCTTAGCTCAGGTAAATACCTTTTACTCCTAAATTTGGCTAGTTCTTTCTGTATACTGGTATATATAAGAATAAGAATTAACATGGCAACTGGTTTGTAATTCAACCCATGAATGGCACATGCTTTTGATCTTGGATTCATTTTTCAACAAAATCCATGTGAAAGATCACGCAGGCTAAATTGAGAATTACATGTACTGTAAATTGTTGGTTGTATGTATTCACTAATATTGAAAAAGGGTGATCCAGAATTGAATTCACTTAGTGATCACCCTGTACATTTAAAATACTAAGTTTAATTTGAGAATACAGGGTGAACCACAATTGAACTAACTTTAATAATGATCATTCTGTATACAGTTAAAATACAATGTTTACAGTCAAAATACTGCAAGTTGTTATTACTTTTCACTGTATAACTTTTTATATTACATTACAGGTAAAATGCCACAAGAGGTTGCATACCTGCCAACCTAAGACCAAAAATTTGCGTTTTTTTATTTCAATTGCGGTAGATTTTTTCAAAATTTTTGCGGTATTTTTCGACAAAAATGCGGTAGATTAAAGAAACTGATTTTGCCTATATTTTGACACACTTCAATGAATAAATAATAAAGTATGTTTTTCTATGCACTGTATACAGTTAAAATACAATGTTTACTTAACTATACACATCTTGGTGATATTCAAAAACAGATCAAGACAGTACAAAAATCAACTACTGCTTGGTGGTGATTGGTGCACTAAGTTGATGTGCCATTAGTTGAGAGTTTCGTTGAGTTCGCAGCAGATTGGACAAATGACGTCACATTAACAATTGGCTGTTTAACTGCTGCATCTGGAATGACTGGTGATTTATCTGAATCTGCGGGGGGATGGGACGGTATTATCGTAACATGTTTCGGAAGTCCTACCACATCAATTGTGCTCTTAGGATCAAGACATTGAGGTACTAGCTGAGCCTTTGTTAAAGCCTCAACATCTTTATTGTCGATTGGTCGATGATATCCATCATATGTCTCTCCAATAAAAGTGTCTCCCTCTCGAGGGGAAACAAATGGGAATGATTGTGGTTGGCTTTTACATGTAAAGCTATCGTGGCAGTAAAAATGTTCCTTTTGATTCTCCCACAGGTTCTCCAAGAAATCTTGGCCTAGATACGCCAGCCAAGACCCTGAGAAGAGGGTTTTTATCCCCGAATTAACACCACCAATGAGATCTGGAATGATAGGAGTTGTATGAGAGGGGTGGTCCCGAATACAATGGAATGTTCTCTTAGATTTGGTCCACTCTTCAACAGCTGTGAATTCACGATCTGTCATACGGAATGTAACGTTTCGGATAATAAATCTCTCAACTGTTGAATCATCACTAACCAAATATGGCCATAATTCGGGTGAAACATTCGTAGCTTGAGTATCCACATACAATATTTGGGCTCCTAGAAGCTGAAGCTTTCTTATTAAATTCTCTGGTATAACATCATACTTTGATATACCAACTGTTTTCTCAATGTAAAATCGTGCTGTCCAGCCAGGAAACATGACAGGGGTAAGCTGTGCACTACGAACAGCTCCAATCAATCTAGATGTTTTATTTGAATAAAGACTCATTGAAATTATTTTCTGACTTTTTGGATCTTTAGTAGGGTGGGTTGAATTTCTATACTTTATGTAACGTTTCAGTATTTTCTGGTTTGAGTCGATTGCTGCTTGTAACTTTTGTCCAACTCTGAAATCAACTTTGTATCTTGTACCAGTTTCCATTGTATGCTTCAATTTTATATCTTTACATTTGGTAGAGCGATCGGGACGATACACCTTCGTTACCCAGTCATCCGCGTACCAATCTGTAAATACTCGTGGGTAATATATCCCAAAAATATCTAGATGAGTCTTATGGGTAAAATCGTAAGTTAAAATGGCAGTGTTTCCACCACTATGAGCAGGGCCTACGACTCCTACATAAGGGGGTGTATATTTCTTTAATGTTTCTGTAAAAACTTCAGACCATCCTCCTGTCATCATATCGCTGTCATCATTGACACGATAGAAAAATGGGATATCATCAAGATACGCTGCCCACATTGCATCATTTTGGGCCCAGGCTGGTTTCCCAGCGTGACTGCAGCGCACTAAATGGACTCTAACTGGAATGTCTGAAGGGCAATGTTTCTCCACAGCAGCATTAAATTCCTTACTGAACATTTCATGAGAATTGGGCAAGCTAAAATATGGGTCATTGTGATCATGTGCCAAATAGTAATGATAGCTAAATCCTTTACTTGCAGTTTTACAAAAACTTGGAAGTAAGCGTTTAAATAACGGCAGTTTAGAAGCCATACTAGCTGCAGTTAATTCTTTCAAGCCTCTTGTTGTAATGCCACCTCCTATCGCAATTGTTCTATCAGTGATTTCTAGTATATGACTGTGGTGATTTTGAAATCCTTCCTCACCATGCTCATCTACCAGGACCTTAGCAGTGAAATTCCCCTTCTCTATATTCAATTTCTGGTCAGGTCCAACAAGAGTGTAAGGCCCTGGCAAATACCCTTTTATAAGATTGTTGATACCATTTATCTTCGGTAACATTTGGATCACAGTAACAGACGTCATATATTTATATTGCAGCGAAATAATGACAATCACACATGTCATTAATATGCTGAAAAGAAACAGTTTAGTTGTACATTTCCCCTCTGCTGCAGGCTTTAGAGTCCTATGTGGTCCCGGAAGTACGCCACCAGTGGCCATGTTGGATTAGATATATGCACTGGATCAACTCAGGTCATCTGAAATCAGTTAAAATTATATTCAGACACTATGTATAAACTGCTATGGCAGTCTAACATAAGGAAATAACTTTGTACAATTTAGTCTAGATATTTCAAAAATCAATAATAATTAATGTCAATTATACTAATGCTCGAAGTTAGGCAGTAACAACATTTTGTTTCGTTGGTAAGTGTTATATCTTTTTTGCTAGCTACATTTTTTAATGGCCTTAGCGAATATTTCTCAGCATTTAAATTCAGATCCTGGGGTCAGGCAAAATACATGGAGTGCTATTAAAAAGATATATTTTATATACAGGGTGATACAAAAAATACTACCCATATAATGTTACATAACTTTTTTGTCTGCATGAACTCTGACTTGTTCTTTAGGACACTAAAATAACCAGAAGCCATGAAGCAACTAGATGCACTTTTATAATATTTTACAGCCTCTTAACCACCTTCCATTCTTTTCCTTAACAAGGGGAATGAAAATGTTATCTAGCTTTAAATAACAAATGAATGAAATGACACCACCTGTTTTCATATGATTATGAAGCATAATTATGATATATCATTTTAATATAAAAATATACACTCTATCATATAGTTATTTTTAGGCTTCCAGCGATACAACTACATAACTTATCTAGATAAATTCAACTTGGATTACACAAAAACTTATCTCAAACCTAAATGATCACGTGTGGAGAATAAGTGTTTACTTTATTTTTAATTTGGATCTTTTTTTGTCAGCTTCGTATGCTACATGCAGTTGAGTGATACATGAGAAAACAACAGATGCTAGCATTCTTACAGTAATACATAGACATATTTTCATATTAATAAATAAATGGCTTATGGGCCATGTAAACCAGCATAGAATATGCAAATTAGATAGATACATATATGTATACATACATATATCTATGTATTCATGCATATATATATATTATATGCCAGCACAGAATATGCAAATTAGATAGATACATACATCATTATATGTATTCATATATATGTATGATATATATACAAGCATGGAATATGTTAATTAGATAGACTAGATACATATATAGAACTAGATACAGAACAATTAATTTATTAGTTGGCATAGCATATGTTAATCAAATAACAATAATTCATGAATATCTTACATTGAGATATCTATGAATATGCTTTAATTTATGAGATATATGTGTATTGTATACATGTTATATATGTATGTATTTGTATATATCTTCTTAGCTGGTCCCCAGTCCCCAGTTCCCAGTTTGAGATATCTATATGCTATATATAATATGTATGTATTTGTATGTATATTTTAAGAAGGTCCCCAGTCCCCAGTTCCCAGTTTGAGATATTTATATGCTATATATAATATGTATGTATTTGTATGTATCTTTTTAAGAAGGTCCCCAGTCCCCAGTTTCCAGTTTGAGATATCTATGTTTGTGTATATTTATGTATTTGTATGTATCTTATAAGTTGGTCCCCAGTCCCCAGTTCCCATTTTGAGATATCTATGTTATATGTATGTATGTATCTTCTAAGCTGGTCCCCAGTCCCCAGTTCCCAGTTTGAGATATCTATATGTAGGTATTTGTATTAAACATTGACAGAATATGAAATGAATATAACATCGTAACAAAAAAGTACAATTGTAAATCTAATATTTACGTGTATTAAACATTGACAGAATATGAAATTAATATTCACCTTTCCACAAAGTAAAGAAAATCGATAATTTCCGGCGCGCTGATTGGTTGCAAATGAGTCAAATCAATGATGTCAATGCCTGAAAGTTTGAAGAATTAGTACAGCCAGCATAGGAATATTTTGAATTAAATGCAATAAAAAGGATTCTATTTGCCCAATGCACTAAATATTTACGGGGCACTTTCATTCCAAATCTTATGTAATTTAATTTAATCATTTTTTTTTACAGAGCTATTGTTTATTAAGACTTCTCAGACCAGCTTCACATACCAGGGCTCACATGTCTTGTGTGATTGTAAACAAAAAATGTAAATTGAGAAGTTAAAAACGACTTGATTAAATTATTTGATAGTGGTCATACAATATCCTGTTACTATGTCATAGTAAGAAATTCCATCAGAAATTCACCATGAGTAACATTCGCACAAAGCGTTACATTTTGGTACTTATTCTCCATCAGCGATGTCAATATTGATCAGCAATGTCAACATATCATCAATAAACATTGTATGATATACGCTCTTTCTCTGAAATCTTCCCAGTGATCATTATTCAAAACTGATCATCACATAACTAAATCCTTTGAAAAGTGAGGTTTTACAAGTGAAGTTTTCAGGACACCCTGCATATCCAGGTTTTTTTAGTAAGCGTTCTCATTCTCATTATTTTCAAGAAATCCATCATCATTTTGGTTAAGAAAAATTCTACGTTCTGCTGGATCTATTTTGACAGTTTTGCTTTAGCAAGATACTTTTACAAATTGACTGTTTCTACACTGAATAAAAAACATTTTCCCGGGAATATTTGGATCGGGAGATACGCAGCGGGAAATATACATTGGAATATATATACATGTTTACTTGGATGTGTTACAGGTATATATTACGGGATCTGTTTGAAGGTTTAAAAAAGGGAAGGAGCATCCACTTAATCAATCAAAAATTCGAGAAAATAGATCTGGGAATATTTGAGAGAACAGAAAAATCCGCCCACGGCCAAGAAAACAAAACTGGACATGAATATTCTAAAATATTTCCACGATTGAACAATGTGAACCAGATGACCAAGATTGGTATGGGATAAACATATTATCCTATAGTTGGTTCAGGATATTGGGATTATCCTTGGCCAATATAATATATTTTCCCTCTGGACCTAGCTGCGGCCCTCGGACAGATATATTATATTTACCTCGGGACAATCCCAATATAAATGTACTGAACATCATATAGGATAATCTCTATATATGTCACGTTCCTCCAAGATATCAATTCTTTATCCCATACTTGGACGTGTTACGGGTACATAAAGCCGGTTTGTAAAAACTTATATTTTCATCAGCGGGCAGATATAGCCCGCTCCGAGCGGTCAGATATAGTATATCTGCCCGCTACATCATAATCGCTGTTCCCGTATTGGTTCTTTTTTGTAACGTTCCCATACTGTAAACCACAATTGAGAAAAACACAGACAATCGCGATCTGTTTGATGCGTTAAAGAAGGGAAGGAGCAGTATACCCCATTAATAATCAAAGATTTGAACAGGAAAAGAAACAAGCATACAAAACTGGACATTTTAAAATAATTCTACAGTTGGTTGCAAAGTTTCTGAACTTTGGCCAATTGAACAATGTGATTGGTATGGGATAAACAAATCATCCTATAGTCGGTTCAGGATATTTGGATTATCCCTTAGCCAATATAATATATCTGCCCGAGGGCCGTAATATCCTGAACCTCATATAGGATAATCTCTATATATCCTGATGTTTTCAAGTATAATATTTTCAAGATATGATCTGATATGACTTGCAGAAATAAATAGGAAGTAATCGTTTAGTTGATTAACTTAAAATAGATTGTCTATCTATTTATTTATATGCATGAGATACATGTTATAATGTTAGGGAACTAATGATTATGATAATTTCACCTGTTCACATCCAGTTCCAATCATGATTGAAAACTGACCGGAGTAATTCTCTTCAAATTATTTACTCATTATGAACAGAAATTTAATATTTCAATCGCTTAGAAGGCGTAAATAAATGCCAATTTGATGTTCAATAAAAATCCGTCAATAATTTACTGATTACTTGCACATTTGAAGAGGTAAAACTTACAGCAATCAACCGAGGATGTACATGTAAACTCAATTGCATTTGTACAAAAAAGTACAATTGTAAATCTAATATTTATGTATTTAACAATTGTCTTCAAATATCAAGGTAAAATAACCGAAATGTTATCTGAGTAGTATTACTCCAGTATATTGCATGTTTAAGTTATCTAATATTTATGAGCATTTTAAAACCTATTTTTTGACATATAGCATCAATCAATTTGTACAGATTTTTATTCTTCTGTTTGGGTTTGAGCTGCTAGTTCATAATGAAGGTGTTATATTTTTTCCCTATCTGATCTAATACTGGCCACATGAGCACACCAGGTAGATATCAGTTACACAAACTTTAGAGCAACGTTTAACATTAAACTTGTATATTTAAGTTCACTGAGTTACCCTATATGTGGAAATAAAAGACATTAGCGCAACCAGCAGACCAGGGGGGGGGGCACGATTGCCAAATTTTTGCTATTAGCTAGAAGCTTCAAACAAAATACATTTTAAAGCTCTTATTTTTATTGGTCATCGCCCCCCCCCCTCCTGGCTACGCCTATGATAGGTATATAGGTCAAAAATGGTAAGCGGCAATGGTCATAGTATGTCTAAAAATATAAGTGATTCCAATGTAGATATTTTAAACTTCATATTTCATTATAGAAATTTTATTCCAGACTTAACAGAACTGTAACTTTAAAGAACTCTTTAAAATTGTCTTTGAATTATACATTGAATCAGCCTGAAACCTATCTTCTAGAGGAAAACAGTTAATCCAGTCAAGACTACAGTAATGAGACAAACCCATAACTTACATAACTTAAATAATCTGTCTCCAGATTGGAAAAGAATTATACAGTTATATGAAGCACTATAAAGCTGATAAGCTGTTAGTTATCCAAATATATGTGTCTACTTAAGATGGATCATTTTATGTCTTATCTTGATACTGAATTTAAATAGAGAGTCAATTTCAGAAGCTTTCAGTCTAATGTATTGCAATGTATTATGAATTCTCTACCTTTTCAATATATTGAAGCAAAATTAGAAAAAAGTAAAAAAAAAACCAAAAATAGATAAAAATCAAGATAAACCTTTTATTTCATCAACAAGATACTTTTTTAAAATCAACCAAAATTTCCTTTGTACAATTACAATATTGAGAGACTTAAACATGTTGTGTATATGTCATTTTGTTCAAAACAGGTTCGGAAAGATGTTTCATTTCATTCTGAGCATATGATACCAGAAGCAAAAGAAGTGTTTGATGTGTTTTCTAAAACAATATAGAGAAAAGTATATACATTTTTTCAAATTATATTGTTACCATTCAAAAGATGACCATTAAATTGACGATATGTAATTTTTAGAAATTTTTGATGACTGATTTAAGAGAAAAGTGTGTTCAAAAAGTTCACCATATCAATACCAATCCTTTACAGGTTCTCCTAAATATCCAGGATGTCAACTCTTCAGTCTATATGGAAAGGTTAAACTTGTGACTAGGATAACAAAAAGGTCAATCTTTCTAATTTTCACATATTTTGTTATATATCAGATAGACATTGAAGTTCTGCCTAAATAAAATCTGGCTGTTCTTGGATTTTAAAGTGTTATGTAAAGATGATAACTTAATGACTATTAGATGACTCTTCCACCTACACCAGTCCAGTCTATACCATTAAACATGCAATAAGAGAAGTTAATATACAGGGTGGTCCAAAAAAGTGAACCCCTGCAACAGGCTATATTTTCCTTAATACTTGCATGAATAGACTCATATTATCATATCACATGTTGTAGAAAAAGGTCTAAAATTTTGGTTGATGCCATAATCTATTCTCTGTCTTAAATTTTGAAGAAATCACATCTAAATGAGGTTTTATATAGAATTCATCCTCAGTGTATATTGCTATCAACTCATAAAAGAGAATGGATCAATATGAATCTTGAATGATTAAAATTTACTTTAAAATAGTTTACATACTTTAACATAGAGATCTCGAAATGGGAACTGGGGACTGGGGACCAGCTTAGAAGATACATAGTTGATACAAATACATATATACACAAACATAGATATCTCAAACTAGGAACTGGGGACCTTCTTAAAAGATACATACAAATACATACATATTATATATAGCATATAGATATCTCAAACTGGGAACTGGGGACCAGCTTACAAGATACATACAAATACATACTATTATATATAACAATATAGATATCTCAAACTGGGAAGTGGGGACTGGGGACCTTCTTAAAAGATACATACAAAAACATACATATTATACTATAGCAATATCTCAAACTGGGAACTGGGGACCAGCTTAGAAGATACCATAGGAATATCCTATGGTTTTGAAAAAATATCATTTATATCCATGAGTGGATATTGATATCTTCATGAGTGAGCGCAGCGAATGAGGGAAGATATTTGTATCCATGAGTGGATATAATTGATATTTTTAAAAGATACATACAAAAACATACATATTATACTATAGCAATATCTCAAACTGGGAACTGGGGACCAGCTTAGAAGATACTATAGGAATATCCTATGGTTTTGAAAAAATATCATTTATATCCATGAGTGGATATTGATATCTTCATGAGTGAGCGCAGCGAATGAGGGAAGATATTTGTATCCATGAGTGGATATAATCGATATTTTTGAAAAACCATAGGATTGTCCATTTATCCCATGAGAAATCATCAGCGAAAAATATAATTTGAAAAAAAAATTGAAAAAAAAATTGAAAAAAATTGTGAAAAAATGTTGAATTTTTTTTGAAATTTTGAAATATGGTTTAAATATTTTTGAAAATAATTAAAAAATGTAAAAAGAATTTTTTTTGAAAGAATTCGAAACCATCGAATATCACTTTTCAAACCATCGAATATCACTTCTCAAACCATCGAATATCACTTTTTAAGACGTGATATTCGATAGTTTAAAAGTGATATTCGATGGTTTGTGAATTTTTGCTAAAATATGATATCTTGATCCACATATCAAATATATCTTCGTGTGATATTCGATCTATATCCTTGCAACCATGGGATAAATACAAATACATACATACATATTATATATAGCATATAGATATCTCAAACTGGGAACTGGGGACTGGGGACCTTCTTAAAAGATACATACAAATACATACATATTATATATAACAATATAGATATCTCAAACTGGGAATACATACATATATAACATGTATACAATACACACATATCTCATAAATTAAAGCATATATAAATATCATGAATTATTGTTATTTAATTAACATATTCTCTGCCAACTAATAAATTAATTGTTATCTATCTACTGTAGTTCTATATATGTATCTAGTCTATCTAATTAACATATTCCATGCTTGTATATATATCATACATATATATAAATACATATAATAATGTATGTATCTATCTAATTTGCATATTCTGTGCTGGCATACATAGATATATGTATGTATACATATATGTATCTATCTAATTTGCATATTCTGTGCTGGTTTACATGGCCCATAAGCCAAATAAATAGTAACATAAGTAATGTTAGTCAATACTCCAGTTAATCTGATTTCAACTAGAAATATGGAGTTGCAAATCCCACTGTAAAAATCCTATCGTAACTAAAAATTGGTATTTTAATTTGAGTCGTTATTTTGAATAGAATTTGCAGATGAACAAGAGTTGTAAACTTAGAAAAACATTTTTTGAAAATGAATGCCGGATCAAGTTGAGCCATACAAGTAAGTCAAAAATCTCATTTTTATTGTAAGATGTCAGCCATTTTGAATAAAGTCTTTGCTTTTGAAAAATAGTCAGGCAGATCTCCTACACTTATAACAGTTCATATTTCAAGAGTACATTAAAGTTCAACAAACAGTCCCATTTAATTTGACGCAAAAACATTTAGATTTTTGACAAAACAAGTCCTGTTTGAGTTTCATATTTCTTTTACACCTGAACATTTTTCCTTAGAGCTTACTACCATATAGTACTTACTTTTGAAAAGACTTCTATTTAAGTTTGCGTGCTAATTGTCAGGATTTTTCTCTAAAATGTTTCAGCATCATTGCTATCCTTGGCAACCTGAAACAATATATGGGAGAACAAATTTAATTCACAATGTTAGTTTTTTGTTTTTATTTTATTCCAAAAAGCAGTTGCTATGTCTAGCGCCCGTAAAAACAGTAGATTCAAACATGGAAACATTTAGTCCAAAAAAGCAGATGCTATGTCTAGCTCCTGTAAAAACAGTTTACTGTGACCGATTCATCACCACTATGACACTTATGTAAGCACAGTATCATCAATATGACTCTGGAAATTAATCAACAGAATTCCACATATTAAAGGTGCAATAATTAGTGCAGAGGGGTCATTCAACGATCATGGACCAGTGTCAAAATATATTTAAGTTTGGATATTTCATCAAGACTAACATCTATTTTTATTATCTACAAAGAAACCCCCTAGATAAACATATTAGCTGATATTCCTCTTGAAACATGGTGGATCTTAAAAATATAAAAGTGGAAGTCCCCTTTTTGAAGCTTTGAACTGAATTTACACTTCTTAATGCTGAAATTGATAATTTATCCATACATTTTAAGAAAATAGGTATGTCAAAGAAGATGTTAAACCAAATGTTGTCTTGATAGCTCAGAAAAAATGAAAAAACTTTCCTATTTTCTCTACAGTCCTTATTGCCCCTTTAATACCCCCTACAGAGGTATGACTGTCTCATCACTAATTCATATGAGCTTTATCATCCATGCTAGCAACTAAAATTGGTATTAAATGTGCTATAATTTCGTGAACTAAATTCAATATTTTTTTCTCTTGAAGCCATAGGCCCCGGGAACATGTATAAAAAAAATCGAGTCGACATCTGTATTACTTCTAATAGAAGAAGTAACAATAAGTAATACAGATGCGATTTTTATACATGTTCCCAAGCTTGAACCATTAAGCGGAAAAAATTACACATCTCAATGCAATGGTCTTCTTTTGAATGGTAGCAACTGAATTTGGAAAAATATTCATATTAGTTTTTATATTGTTGAAGCCACTGCTAACTTTAGTTTTGAGCCAAAGGTCTGGGGTAGGGCCCTATGTCTGGTAAAACTAGATGTTTTCACCAGCTGAATCTTAGTGTTCTGATATCTAAAATACTGATTTTTGGGAATTTCAAACTTACTGTATATTTAATTGAAAGCCTTCATTGTTAATGTAGGTGATTTCTTTTCTAAACTAAAATACTTTCCTCAATCATTGATTTAGCTCTATAATAACACATACACATATAACAACTCCTAAAAGCGTGTAAACGATAAGTTTGTTTTTCTACTTATAACTTGATGAAGAGGTTTAATCAGTAACCAATAGGATAAATCGCGTACAGTAAATGATTCTCACCAACGAAACGTTTAATATATCTTATATGTGCTGCCAAGTTTATCCTGTTTACTTTTGTTTCACAACTTAAATTATATTCCACTTCAAATCTATAATAAGTAAACATTCTTCATAGACTCACAAAAATGGGCCAAACCCATTGGGTCAATGGGAGCCCCCAGTTTATTTCTAAAAGCTTGTGATCCGGAAGCCAAAAGTATTTTGAAAAGTCCTAAACTCCTAAGAGCTCCTCAGCTGTGAGAGGGAATGATCATTTTGCACATTGGCATACAACCAATGTGAGAGTACAAAAAAAATTCTCGATAGTCTTGCTAAATTTTCATATACCTGTAAGATACAGAGATCATTGAGCAAACCTAATAGGCTTTACCAGCATTTTGTTCAGGTAGTTAAAATGTTTATTGAAAGTAAGATGTTTATCACTTTTATAAGGATAATATATTCATCTATTTCTGTCTCATGATGTGCATATTGCCTACTCCACATGGATCAATTTCTGTATGGTATTTCTCATATGTTTGTGTTACCATTGTCAATTACGCTTGCAAAGGTTTAGTGAATTCCATGAGTTAGGAATACATAAAATCTCATAACACAGTAACAAATCAATTGATTTTCACATTTTCTGTGGTAAAAATTGATACTAAAGCCCCAGTCACAGTTACTCTATGCGACCATAATTTAAAAAAAACGATTTAGAAAATCTACATCATACTACATATCCCTATATTTTATGTAGATTTTGGGAAGCTACGACCGCTGTACTGTTGCTGTAGATCAAATTAATGTTCAATGTTACACCAAATAAAAACTAACACCCAAAAATCATACCCTGCGTGCAGAGAAGTTAAACTACACTCTGCCTAGTAGAGACCATATTACAGTTTAGCAGCCCCGCCCCCACGACGGGTACCGACCGATGACAGTTTGGGTAATAAATCACTTCTGACCTATGCGCTTGCCTTTCTTCGACCATTCAGCGAGCTTGAAGAAACATACGCAAAATACGTTCTAATTAAATATGCGCATGTCATTGGTCAATTCTGGGCTCAACGATGACATCACAAGGAATGACTATATATAGAACGTCGGTCAAATTTGGCCGACGGACGAACACTAATTGGCGCGGTGAGTTCACAGGTTTATTTTAGTTTGAAAGAGTGAACACGAAGCTCTCTTTTAAGAAGTTAAGTCAAACGAATACAAAGGGTACAAAAATCAATAATTGAAATTAACAATTAATTCACGAAAATATTACTATACAAAAAAGAAAATGTTCTCGAAAAACCAACTATGATAAAGCTTATGTCCTAAAGAAAAAGATAATGTTTTAAGAACTAATGAATCAAAAGATGTAGATATATCACACTGTATGTTATAATAGATAGAGAATGACAGGTGAATGCCAAGAGCAAGAATCAAATCACCAATTAAGTCAAGATGCACTGAATTATACATCACTTACATTATTGTTTCATGATTTTATAACATGGGCTTTGAGTAAACTATCTGACCTAGATTGTGATAGATGGCCGTTATCTCTCATGACGCTTGGGTCCATAAATCACTTGGTCAGAATTAAAAGATGCTAATATCAAAATCTTAAAGCTCACTTCAGTTTTTATTGAAAGGTGTGCATATGTATAGGTTTTTTCTCCACCATTATATCTATTATCTTGTACAAAAATTATTCTTTTGTTTGTAGCAAACAAAATTGCCTATTTTCTTCTTACAAACTTGTTTACATGTGGCTTATAATGCAGTTCTGCAAAGCCACAGACATGTGTATGTTATATGTTTGTTATACATGGAAATAAATCATTAATAAAAAAAATAAAAGTTGATAAGCATTCTCAAAACAACATGTTTAGATCTAATCTTGTTTTAATTGTGTTAATTTCAAATATACAGTAAAACCTGTCTTAGTTGGACAACATTGATACCTCTAAGATGTTTTCCACTTGGGAGGTGTTCCACTAATAGAGGTTCATTTAACATTTAGTCAATTGGTCATAGAACTCTAAAAAGTGTTCCTCTAACAGAGGTGTTTCACTTCTAGACGTTCCACTTTACAGATCTCACTGAAATATAACTTCGATCACTTGGATTGTAATAAGGTTATTTCGACTTGCATTTCGACAAGTCTACTTCTTGCTTTACTTAGTGTTACAAAGGATTTTTCTCATTTCAGTATAAAGGATGTAGACTTAGCAGTGGTATTAAATGTTTATGACTAGATTCAGATGATCCAAAAAAAGAAAATTAGATGTTAAAAATCCACTTTTTGAAATTCTAAAGAGGTTTGACTTGGCCAAAATAATATTTCATGATGACCGTTTCTCCTCTATATATTATGTCACATTCAGAAAAACAATTGTGTCTCTGTGTTAGGTTTCCCCACAGATAATGAGTTTTAAGTCCCATCTGGCCCATAGCAAGGGGACCCCCTTGGCTGATTTTTCTTGCAGTGTTTCACCATTCTGAGCACTTTTAAAGTGATTTTAACTAATTTCAGCCAAAGTTGTCAAAAGTGAACCCTCCCTGGATTTGACTGGAATTTTTCAAAAAGTGAATCCCACCTCCTTGACAAAAGCTGGCTATGAGCCTGGGGGTAAACGTCATGAGAAATCATGGCCTTCTTTTAGCTTCACTCTAGTTGAAGACAGAAAGATGTGATGAGTATCAGAAAAGGGGGAAAACTTGTCATATAAACGATTGCATATATCCAGATGTGTGTAAAACATCAGAATCAAATTCTATATACACAAAGAACACTTGGCAAAAATCAACAGTTCGTCTTTAAATCACTTCCTAAATGTTTTTACACTGCTCATAACAAGAAAAAAAAATTTTGTTTTGCACATTCAAGGACATACTGAAGACCTACCTAAAATAAGCAAAATTAAAAGGAGCCATTTACAGATGTTATGCCTTAAAACACATTACTATTTCACACAAATAAACTGAATCTTTTGTATACATACATTTTTATGTACCAACATGATATCATGAATGCTTAATTACAGTACACTGTACTTATTATACCAGTATATTAATTCAAACCTTCTACAAACATGTACATTATTGTATATTTCATATCTGTATGCAATAAAAAAAATATGTGTGGAACATATCTCAAACATACATAAAGTCAAAATGACAAAATCACATTAAAAAAAGTTATCTATGAACATATGTATTTTCTCCCATCATATGATTATATCTGAGTATCTAACATTGCATGACATGTGACGAATAGGTGGATTGAGCCGATAGTTTTTACAGGCAATTCCAAAAACTTAATCAATAGGTGAATAGGATAAGTCTCACCAAGTAAAAAGTAAATAGTATTAGAAAGGTTTAATGTGCAGTGGTTCTTAACAGGAAATGACAAAACAGGAAGTGACAAAAAATGTGGCATTTTTAGACATTTTTTAAACAAAAATAACAGAGTTCTGTTTTGACCTCCAGTCAATTCAAATAGTTCCACCTATCATTTACAGGACAAGGATCGCAATGTACATGGTCAGAATGATCCTAAACATGATGAAATAACCTTTTCAGGCCTCTAAAAATGTGACTGGAAAATAGCTTTGTCCATTTTTCAAAAACATAACAAAATCAAAATACTGTAAAATTGACACTATGATGTTGAAAATCTGCTTTCAAGC